CCCGCCCACCCGCCCTCCCCCTCCCTCTTCTCAGTTTCTGCTCCCCTGAAAGTCTGTCTTCCAAGTCTCTGAATCTTTCTTCTGAATCGATTCGGAGGCTCCAAATTGATTCAGAGGCTTTTTTTTGGTGACCGATTCATTTCAGATTCGATGATTCAGCCTCCAAATCAGGCCAAATCTTCTCTGAATTGAATCAGCGACTGGAGTGTCACACAGCCCTAATACAAAGACATGGTCCCTGCCCCAGAGAGATCATAGTTTAAAGGTAGATATGTGCAAGGCAGCAGTAGCAAACATTAGAGAGAGAACCCAGGAAGGGATGAGAAAGAAAAACAGAAAGGTTTTTCAGGTTGGTCATATGCATGTCTTGTTGTTCCACAATATAACTGTAACCCAGGCGGTACTCCAAGAGGTCCCTCCTCTCCAATTGAAGGGATCAAAGCAGGTGCACAAGCGCTGTGGGAGGTGTAGGGACTCTCCTCCCCCTATAGAGCAGAGCCAGACCACCAGTGGGGACTTAACCACATACCTTTTAATGAGGGAACACTACTGGGAACATAACCAGTATAAACCAGGGGGTATAGGGGACACTACAATGCCCTGAGGGGGCAGGATTCAACAAAGGTTAGACACTTACAATCATTGACAAAAGACAGGGTTAACCAAAATACAAAACACAAACAGCAGAACAAACAATACATGTTGGTGACATATAAAAGGCACAAAATACAAAATGTCAAATTACAAGGAATATAGGGCCTAGATACCTGGAGGGGGAGAAAGGGGGAAAACACAATTGCCCCTTTCCACTGCAAGAAGAATTTCTCTCTGTTAGCTCACTCACCAAGTCTCCATAGCTGGGACTTGAACTCAGATCTCCTGTACAGTAAGCTAAAATGCTACCACACACCTACCAGAGCTGACACTATGCTACACTGCTGGGGATCTTGACCTTCTGGGAGCCCCAGCGTCACGTCAAGCTGCCTGGCCTCTTGCTGGAGGAGCTAGAAGCAGGGCTGGGAACCTCTCAGGTCACTGCTCAGATCCTTGCTGGAGTGGAGGGGAGCCTCTCCTGCCGGCCGCATGCCGTGCTGCTGAGGGTCCAACTGCTGCCTGCAGGTCCCACTGCTTCAGGCTCTTCTCCTGCCCCACTGGCTCAGCTCTTTGAATCTCCTTCCCCATGGTCCCTCACTAGTCTCCTCTGAGTCAGCCACGCTGCCCCTTTTATCCCTCTCCAGGTGACCCAAGAGGCCAATCAGGAGACATGGAGGGTGAGTCTCTGGGGCCTGATTGGTGAGGAAAGGGAATCCCAAGTCCTCCAATCATCTTTTGCCCTTTCAAAACCCCTGGGCCAGGTCACTGCCAGGCAGCCCATCACATCCTCCCCCGCAGAACCCTTCACCGTCCCTGGTGAAGCACGGGCCTTAGCCTGGGGGACAACTGGACCCACGAGGCAGCGATGGGGACCTCCCCTGGCACCCCCATAGTAGGTGAAGCGGAGGACTGGCCGAAGCTCCCACCTTGGCCATGGAGTGCGATCTGGGGCAGAACTGCACAAGGGCCCCAGTGACTTGGGCTCCCTCTCACTCAAGGAGTCTGCCCCACTGGCAGGTAAAGACAGGGGGATGTTTTCTCCTAGCCCGTCACATAACCAAGAGTCATGAGTTGTAACTATATTATGCCTGTGTGTGTCCATGCATACACCCACTCCTTATATTTCTCCCTCTTCATTTGCCCCCCCTTACCAGCTCATATAATTTCCACACCTTTCCAACCCTTACTTGTCTCCCTGGTTTGGAACCTAAACAATATTTTACTTGGAGGGGGAGAGGGTTTAGGAAAGGGAGTTAAACATACTACTTTTCCTTTCTCATCTCCCAGCTCTCACATTCATACTTCTCTGAGTCAAGGTAATATCCAGATTTTGTGATTGAGACTTATATGTTTCTTGTCCAAAAACAATCTTTTCCTTGGGTGTGCATATGCACATGTGTGTGTTTTTGAGATTGATATTGTCAACCAAATTCTGCTTTCAGTCACACAAGCATTACCTTAGTCTTCTGTATGTTTAATAGTAATTAATAATACATCATCATAATCAAAAGCAGATTTTTTTTCAATTTCTTTAGAAACATAACATTGCTTGGCCTCAGTTCATTAAAGTACTTAAGAACATGGCTAATTTTAAGTATGTACATAATGCTATTGACTCAATTAGCCCTACTGACTTCAATGGGATTTCCTACAGGCTTAGAGTTAGACAAGTGCCTACAGCCTCACTGGATGGAGGCCACTATGTCCAGTATTCCATACGTTATTGAAAAGCAATGCAAAGGACCTGATCGACAAATTAATCAGTAGCTCAAGTATAAAATATATACAAGCTGAAGGGATGTAGGGACAGCATCAATACATATCAGCAATCTTTATTCAGACATCCGTTAACGTTCCAGGGGAATACCAAATATATAAGGAATATTCATGCAAGTATTGTAATACTGGACTTTTGACTTTCAGGGCTGGGCCATTATATATTTGAATGGAATATATATGGTAAAGTGTTTGGATTGATGTAGACCTCATTTACCATGGAGTAGTAAAATTTCCCTTGTTGTGTTACATACTTCTTGATTTACACTGTCCACACTTAAAAAAGTAGTAAGGGAATGAGTCACAGGACTCAGCCTTCTATTGCCCTGAATCTTAAGAGCCAC